CACACACACACACACACACACACACACACACACACACACACGAACACACACAGACACACACACACAGGGTAGTTTTTGTACTTTTTTTTTTCACTTTTTTTTTCCCAGGTGTGTCTTGCCACGTGTCCGAGGCCCATTGGGCACGACCTGTTGATCGGATTTCAACGGGAAGCCCCCGTTGTACCGTTCAACCGTTCAACGGGGATTCAACTCGGGCCTCATGGGCATTCAACGGGTTCAACGGAGTTGAATAAATCCCGTTGCGAGTTGAATGGACACACAACCCTTTATTCTTACCAGCAATGCGTCAGACTTTGTTGTAGGAGTAGTGCTTTCTCAAGTCTTTCCCTCCTCTCCTGATTCCTCTCATCCTCGTATCCCTCGCTTCCCACCACCTACCCCTACCACTGCTTCCCGACTGACGCCTACTCGTCCAGCTACTGACGAGCCTTCTATTGACTATTTTCCTACCATCGCCGAGGATGACACTGTCGAGTCTCGCTCAGGTAATTGTTCGATAGTCTTCTACTCCTGTCAGCTCTTGCCCGCCAAGATAAACTGCACCGCTGATGAACGTGAGGTTCTCGCAGTAGTTTATGCCGCTTGGCATTGGCGCCACTACCTGCACGGGGCACCATTCATGGTGCGCACGGACAACTCGGTTGTCCAGGCTTTTCTGACAAAACCGAAGCTCACTCGTCGACATGCTCGCTGGTGGCACGACCTATCCGAGTTTAGTTTCACCACTGAGCACATCAAGAGTGAGACTAATCGGGTCGCAGATGCCTTATCCCGGCGCCCCGACCACGACCAGGAGCAGATCCAGCTCTCTTCCATCTCGGTCACCACTGTCCACCACTCGGTGATCGATGAGTTTCGCACTCAGTACCGCCACTATCCCGACTATCGCGACATCCACGCGACCCTTCGGATTGGCAAGGCCGTCCCAAACTACTCTCTCGGGACAACGGTCTTGTGTACTGCACGGTTCACAGGGCACCAGAGAGCCCAATATTTGCGTTCCCTCCACTAGACAGCTACGTGTCCGAGCAGTAGCAGATTTCCATGAGCAGGAAGCCGCCGGTCATATAAGACGTTGGCTCGTGTGAGCCGCCTGTACGTCTGGCTGGAGCGCAAGGACTTTGTGAAGGACTATGTCGCAGAGTGTCCCACCTGTGAGGAGGTGAACAGTGCGAACCACCTTCCTTTTGGTTTGCTCCAGCCTCTACCTATGCCTGAGGGTTGTTGGCAGTCCATCTCGATGGACTTTATCGGTCCCCTTTGTCCTCCGACCCCTCGCGGTCATGATGCTATCCTGGTCGTCGTCGACTGCTTCACGAAGCGTGCACACTTTGTTCCGTGCCGCTATGCCATCAGTGCACGTGAGGTCGTCGACATCGTGTTTAACCGAGTCGTGCGTGACCACGGCTTACCTCTGAGCGTCTATCTGACCACGACCCGCGCTTTACCAGCCGATTCTGACGACGGCTCCATGAGGTGTACGACACTCAGCTCCGCTTCTCCTCTTCTTACCATCCTCAGACTGATGGTCAGACCGAGGTCACGAACAGGACTCTTAGAGATATTCTCCGAAAGATCATTCGTGACGACCAGCAGTGGGATCTCCATCTTGCCCAGCCGGGGATAGCCTACAACCACGCCGTCTCGCCAGCCACTGGGGATGCCGCCTTACTATTGCGACCTCGACTATCACCCTCGTGTTCCCGCGGACTTCCTCCGACCGTCACAGATGCACCCCGGCATGAGTTGTCCCGCGCTTGATGATTGGGTTGCACACATGACGTCGATCATGAAGACCGCACATGAGCACATAGCCGCTTCCAAGACTCGCATGGCAGCACGTGCGAACTAATCGAGGATGGACCATCCATTCAAAGTCGGTGATGATATGCTTATCGACGCCCGCCACTTACAGCTCAAAGCGGACACGCTTCGCAAGTTTCGACGTTACTTCTTTGGCCCATGTCGCATTCTCCAGGCCGTCGGTTGTGATACGCCATCTAGCCCGGTCAACTTCCGTGTGAAGTTGCCCGACTACCTACGCCAGGCTCATGTGCACGATGTCTACCACGTCTCGTTACTGCGTCCCTACCGCAGACCGTCTGCGCGTTTCGCTGGACGACCATACGAGCGCCCTCCACCCATCGTGGTGGACGGCCACGAGGAGTTTCTCGTTTCTGACATCATTGGTCACCGAGTCACCGACGACAACCCTCCTCACGTCGAGTATCTCGTACGTTGAAAGGGTTACCCTAACGAGGAGGCTACCTTGGATCCCCTCGAGCACTTGCAGCACGCTCGCATGTTGGTGCGTGCCTATGACCGTGCTCGTCGTGCTAGGTTCACTACTCCTCCTCAGCCCACTGACCCTCCTCCTTCTCCCCCGGCTGAGAAGACCGCTGAAGTCGAGCCTGCTCCATCTGAGGCAGACCTTCAGCAGCAGCATGATGCTTCTGAGCGTCCACAGCGCACTCGTCGTCGTCCTGCTCGATACAACGATTGACTCTGACTTACCTTCCCACGTCCTTGACTTTTCAGTACTCCATCCACTCCTGTTTTGCTACTTCAG